CACCCTCCCTCCCCGACACACACCCTCCCTCCCGACACACACCCTCCCTCCCAGACACACACCCTCCCTCCCCGACACACACCCTCCATCCCCGACACACACACCCTCCCTCCCCGACACACACCCTCCCTCCCCAACACACACCCTCCCACCCCGACACAAACCCTCCCTCCCACCCCGACACACACCCTCCCTCCCAGACACACACCCTCCCTCCCACACACACACCCTCCCTCCCCACCCCGACACACACCCTCCCTCCCCCCCGACAAACACACGCTCACCGACACACAAACACCCTCCCTCCCCGACACACACCCTCCCTCACCCACACACCCTCCCTCCCTCACACACACCCTCCCTTCCCCGACACACACCCTCCATCCCCGACACACACCCTCCCTCCCCGACACACACCTCCCTCCCCGACACACACCCTCCCTCCCCGACACACACCCTCCCTCTCCGACACACACACACCCTCCATCCCCGACACACACACCTCCCTCCCCAACACACACACAACCCTCCCTCCCCGACACATACACACCCTCCCTCCCTAACACACACCCTCCCTCCCCGACACACCAACCCCTCCCTCCCCGACATACACACACCCTCCCCGACACACACACACCCACCCTCGTCGACACACACACACCCTCCCTCCCCGACAAACACACACACACCCTCCCTCCCCCAACACACACCCTCCCTCCCCAACACACACACCCTCCCTCCCCGACACACACCCTCCCTCCCCGACACACACCCTCCCTCCCCGACACACACACACCCTCCCACCCCGACACACACACACACCCTCCCTCCCCGACACACACACACCCTCCATCCCCGACACACCCTCCCTCCCCAACACACATACCATCCCTCCCCAACACACACACACCCTCCCTCCCCAACACACACGCTCCCTCCCCGACACACACACACCCTCCATCCCCGACACACACACACCCTCCCTCCCCAACACACACCCTCCCTCCCCGACACACACACACCCTCCCCCCCGGACACACACACAACCCTCCCTCCCCAACACACACCCTCCCTCCCCGACACACACACACCCTCCCTCCCCGACACACACACACCCTCCCCCCCCGACACACACACACCCTCCCTCCCCGACACACACCCTCCCCGACACACACACACACACCCTCCCTCCTCGACACACACACACCCACCCTCCTCGACACACACACACCCACCCTCCTCGACACACACACACCCACCCTCCTCGACCCACACACACCCTCCCTCCCCAACACACACACACCCTCCCTCCCCGACACACACCCTCCCTCCCCGACACACACACACCCTCCCTCCCCGACCACACACACCCTCCCTCCCCGACACACACCCTCCCTCCCCGACACAAACACACCCTCCCTCCCCGACACACACCCTCCCTCCCGACACACACACACCCTCCCTCCCCGACACACACACAACCCTCCCTCCCCGACACACACACACACACCCTCCCTAACACACACCCTCCCTCCCCAACACACACCCTCCCTCCCTCCCCGACACACACCCTCCCTCCCCAACACACACACCCTCCCTCCCCGACACACACACACCCTCCCTCCCCGACACACACACACCCTCCCTCCCCGACACACACACACCCTCCCTCCCTGACACACACACCCTCCATCCCCAACACACACACACAATCTCTCCCCAACACACACACAAGCTCCCTCCCTGACACACAACCTCACTCACCGACACACACAATCCCTCCCCTACACGCACCTCTCTCCCCGACACACACACACCCTCCCTCCCGGACACCCTCCCTCCCAGACACACACCCTCCCTCTCTGACACACACCCTCCATCCCCAACACTCACACACACACCTTCCCTCCCCGTCTTACACCCTCCCTCCCCGACACACACACACCCTCCCTCCCCGACACACACACACCCTCCCTCCCCGACACACACACACCCTCCCTCCCCGACACACACACACCCTCCCTCCCCGACACACACATCCTCCCTCCCCGACACACACATACCCTCCCTCCCCGACACACACACACCCTCCCTCCCAGACACACACACACCCTCCCTCCCCGACACACACACCCTCCCGACACACACACACACACACCCTCCCACACACACCCTCCCCGACACACACACCCTCCCCGACACACACACACCCTCCCTCCCGACACACACACACCCTCCCTCCCAGACACACACACACCCTCCCTCCCCGACACACACACACACCCTCCCGACACACACACACACACCCTCCCCGACACACACCCTCCCGACACACACATACCCTCCCTCCCCGACACACACACACCCTCCCTCCCAGACACACACACACCCTCCCTCCCCGACACACACACCCTCCCGACACACACACACACCCTCCCCAACACACACCCTCCCCGACACACACACACCCTCCCTCCCCGACACACACACACCCTCCCCGACACACACACACCCTCCCCGACTCACAAACTCCCTATAGGGTGTGAGGGGTGGAAGGGGTTGAAGCTACACTGAATCAAACTGAAATACTGGGAGATAAATGAGTGGTCTGTACCATTCTGGATGAGAATCTGAGATCGTGTAAACCTGCCGTGAATTGCAGCCATGTGCAACGGACTTTTCCCATCTTTACTCTGAAACAGAGAGAGGTACAGATGGTGAGAGTGAGTGATGAAGGTGGAGGGACAATTTCTGGGCAACACAAGCAAGCAAGTCACTTTGCACACAGCAATAATAATAATAATAATCCATCATTTGATACAGCGCCTTATCAAGTCGTCGAGACGTCTCAAAGCGCTTCACAGGATACATTGTAAACAACAACAACAAATGACATTTACACAGCAGCTTTCACGTCAGGAGGACATCCCAAGGCGCTGGACAGTCAGGGATCTGCATCCGAGCTGGTGGCTGTGATCAGGAGAGTTGGAGGGCGGGGAGGGTAGGGGTAAGAGGATGACTGAAGCACAGTCGAAGCGGACGGTCTAGAGATGGGTGTTAAAGGAGGTGAGGGAGGGGGTGAGGCAGAGGGATTATGAGATGGAGTTCCAGAGGGTGGGGATAGGGCAAGGTGGGGGATATAGAGCAGGCCAGAGCCTGCTGAGCGGGAGGAGCAAACAGGTAGGTAGGGAGTTAGGACGTTATAGCAGTAGGGAGGAACAAGGCCATGGAGGGCTTTAAAGGTGACGGTCAGGATCTTGAACTGTATCCTCTGAGTGAGATAGAGCCATCGGAGCCGGGTGGAGGATGGGGATGATAGGGTCACGGAGCCTGGTGCTGGAGAGGACAAGAGCTGCAGAGTTCTGGAGGGAGGAGTTGGGGAGGCCGACAAACAGGGAGTTTGCGTAGTTGAGCTTGGATGTGATGAATGCGTGGATGAAGGTCTCGGTTGCCTGAGTGGTGAGGCAGTGGCGGAGCCGGGCAATGTTGCGGTGGTGGGGAAAGGCAGAGCTGGTCATGGCACGGATGTGGGGAATGAAGGAGAGTTGAGGATCGAACAGACCCCGAGGTTCCGTATTGGCTCCGTGAGGTGTAGATTGCATCGATGAAGGGTGATGCTGTCAGCCCCCCCCCCCCCCCTGACAGCATCACCCTTCAGCAATCATCCCTTTCTTGGAGGGATTATGACCCCCAGAAAAGTGATCCGCCAATCAACTAACACGCGGGTTGCTACTTACTGCCAGGTAAACAGGTGTGGGAAGTGAGGAGACTTGCCAAACATTTGAATCTCCCACAGGGGCCAGGAGGCAACTGAGCTCAGTGACACCAGCTGACACCAGTGGGCTAGGAAAGGGTGGGAACACACAAACACACAAACACACACACACGCTCAGACATACACGTGTAGACACACACATGCGCAGATACACACGTATAGACACACACCACACGCAGACACACACGTGCAGCGCACACACGATAATGGTTCCCACCTCACCTGAACATTCACGTCTGCCCCATTGTTGACCAGGAGCTCCAGGCATAAAGCCCCGTTTGTCGACACAGCAGCAAAGTGCAGTGGGGTGAAGCCCTGCTCATTGGGCTGGTTGACGTTGGCACCACAGTTAACCAGCTGGTTGGCCACGGCATCTTGTCCAGTGTAACAGGCGATGTGCAGAGCAGTGTTTCCATATAGATTGGGTTCATCGATCTGTCAGGAGAGAACAGCCACGCAATGTGTCATTATGATAATCCTCAGCAGTTCCTCTCAGAATCACTGGCTTTACAGTGAGCAAAATGCAACATTGTCATTGACAGATCAGGGCACCCCCCCAACCCCCACCCTGTTCCCCCCCACACACCTCCAGCATTCGCACCCCCTCTCCCGGGTCAAACCTCTCCAGACCCCTCCCTCTCCCCAACCCCCAATCCTCTTTCCTGCCCCCTACATACAGCTCCAGCCCCCGCTCCCCCCCTCTCCCGGGACACACCCCTCCAGACCCCTCCCCTTCACCAGACCACCATCCCCAAGCCCCCCCTCCCCAACCCCTACACACACCTCCAGCCCGAGCCGCAGGAGGTATCTGACAACGTCTATCTGTCCGTTGGAGGCGGCAGCATGCAGTGGTGTGTATCCTCTCCTGTCCTTGCTCGTGACGTCCGCCCCGCGAGAGGACAACAGCTTAACAACATCCAGATGTCCTGCAACGGGAAACCCACAGATCAGCGTTCCCATCCCCCGGCGTCCCACCCTCAGAACTCCCACACTGCCCCGAGTTCCCAAACGCCCCCCTCCCAGTGTTCCAAACCCCTTCCTCACAGTGTTCCCATTCGCCCCCCCGCCCCCTCAGCGTTCCCAACCTACTCATAAAGCTCGTAAGCACTCTGCAGGTCGATCCGGGACACACACTGACCTATGAAAGCTGCCCAGTGTATCGGTTGCCTTTCCTTCTTATCACAGGCCTTGACGTTGGCCCCTTTGTTCAGCAACAAATGCACCATCTGGGTAAAGAGATGTAATGAGAGAAGAGGAGAGAGAACGAACGTGAGGGGGGGTGGGGATGGGGAAATACAAAGATAGAGAGAGGGAAGAAAGGGAGGGAGATAAGAGAGGCAGCAGGGAAGAGAGGGAAAGAGGGCAAGAGAGAGAGGATGGGAAAGAGCTAGAGAGAGGGGGAGGGAGAGTGAGAAAGAGAGAGTGAGAGAAAGAGGGAGAGAGAGAGAGATTGTTGTTATTGGGAGAGACATTGTGCGATGCTTCATGTGGTGCGAGGCTCAGTGTGAGGAACAGTAAATCACCGCAGAATAAACACAAGATTCAAAGAATTCTTGTTCAACGAAGGGAAAGAGAGAGAACGAGAGAGAGACAGAGACAGGAGTAGGGGGGAGGGGAGAAAGACAGGACAGGTAGCACCCCGTTGCACCATCATTTTTCACCCCCATCCCTTCACTCTCTCGTTCTCTCCCTCTCTCTCACGTTCTCTCTCGCTCTCACGTTCTCTCTCGCTCTCACGTTCTCTCTCGCTCTCACGTTCTCTCTCGCTCTCACGTTCTCTCTCGCTCTCACGTTCTCTCTGGCTCTTTTGTTCCCTCTCTCTCGTTCTCTCTCTCATTCTCTCTCTCTCTCGTTCTCTCTCTCTCTCGTTCTCTCTCTCTCTCTTCTCTCTCTCTCTCGTTCTCTCTCTCTCTCGTTCTCTCTCTCTCTCGGTCGTCCTCTCTCTCTTTTGGTTGCCCTCTCTCTCTCTGGGTCGTCCTCTTTCTCGCCCTCTCATTCTTTCTTTCTTGTTGTATCTCTCTTTTTCGGCAGGGCTGGTGACTTGCCTCCAGGTGGCTGCTGTAGGCAGCGTGGTGCAGTGCTGTGCGGCCTGTCCTGTCGGCCGTGTTGACGTTGCTCAGCAGTGGGATCAGCCGCTCACTGCACTTTGTGGCCTTGTTGGCCGCGGCCACATGGAGCGGTGTCTGCCATGACTTGTCGCGAGCATCGGGCTCCGCAGAGTGTTTCAGCAGCACACTCACCGCTCGCTGTAACCACAACACAAGCTCACCCTCGTTCACACAACACATGACAGTTACACAGCACATTTCACATCAGGAGGACGTCCCAAGGCGCTGGACAGTCAGGGATTTAGACCCGAGCTCGGGATTTGAATCATGTGGGACGAAGGGCAAGGAGGGTGGGAGTAGGTGCCTGTCCGAAGGCACGGTTCAAAAGGAGGATCTCGAGGCGGACATTGAAGGCGGCAAGGGAGCGTGCGAGGTGGAGGGACTGTGGGATGGAGTTCCAGTGGGTGGGGCCAAAAACAAGCAGGAATGTACCATAACAGACATAATGCAATGTGCAGAGCATCTAACATCTCGGCCTGGGTAATGAGTCTCTCCCCCCCCCCTCACATCAGGGAGAGAGGGAGAGAGTAACTCTGTGAAATGCTGTCTACAGGTTCCATGTTTATTTATATCTGCGCTGCGAGGAGCAACTCGACCTGCAAAGCCCACGATACCCACGTGCTGGCCATTGCCGTAAGGTCCCTTCACAATAGCTGGACTCACCTCATTGCGGGATGCTGCAGCGCGGTGCAGGGGGGTCAGCCAGGCACTGTCCTTAGTGTTGACAATGGCACCTGTCACAGCAACAGAACAATCGCTGACAAACGGGAATGCAATGCTCCCAGACAACCCTCCATCTACACTGTACGTCCACACTCCCAAGTCAGTGACAGCTTGGGTTAGAGACATGGGTTGGCAAAATGATGAGTTTTTTTTCCAAATACAGAAGCACGAATCATGACGTCTCCAGCTCACAAAGAACGGGAGTAACGAGATGGGGAGTGGAGTATAAAAAGGAGTGTGGAAAGTGATTCCAGAATTGGCTGGTGTGGGAGAAAGCTTTGTGCTCAGAGTGAAGGCGTGTGTGAGCTTGTGGCTGATGTGATCAGCGAGGTCACTAACCTGACTGAATGAGGAGCTCTAGAATTTGAACATCGCCCAGGTAAGCAGCAGCGTGAAGAGGTGTGCGTTTCTGTTGGTCCTGTAAACACAAGTCAAACCTCACAGTTACCCAATGTAATTTAATACTGTGTGCAGTTTTGGTCTCCTTATTTAAGGAAGGATGTACTTGCCTTGGAGGGGGCGCAGCGTAGATTTACTAGGATAGTACCAGGGATGAAGGGGATGAGTTACGAGGATAGGCTGACCAATTTGGGGCTATATTCTCTAGAATATAGAAGAATTAGAGGGGCTCTTATAGAAACCTATAAGATCATCAAAGGGCAATGATAGAGTAGATAGTGGGAGATTGTTTCCCGTTTGGAGGAACTAAAACCAGGGGTCACAACCTTAAAATCAGAGGCAGCCCTTTCGCACTGAGTTGAGGAAGAACTTCTTCACTCAAAGGGCAGTGAATGTATGGAACTCACTACCCCAAAGGGCTGTTGACGCTCAGTCCTTGAACATATTCAAGACTGAGAGAGATAGATTTCTTATTGCTAAAGGGATTAAGGGATATGGGGATAATGGGGATAAGGCTGGGGGTTGGGGGGGGATATGGGGGTGAGGCGGGGTCAGGTTATTAGCTGGAGTTAGATTAGAAGATCAGCTATGATTGAATGGCGGGGCAGGCTCGAAGGGCCGAATGGCCTACTCCTGCTCCTACATGTTATGTTATGTTACTGTTCACATCTACATTTATACAGCGTCCCTCACGCAGGATAGCGTCCCAGAGCGCTTGACAGTGGCGGAGCAGGATTCCAAGCGGGAGGAAGGTAACCTCACAATTACCCAATGTACTGAGCACATCTACATGACACGATGTGTGGATGTGTCCATCTGTGCTGAACAGTCACAACCTCAGGCCCAATCTCTAACCTAAGGTAAAGAGTGTGAGGAGATGTGAGGCCCGTGGGGGTCTGCGTGCACGTGGAGAGAAGCAGTGATTGAGACAGGAAATTATTTTTCTGAGTTTTGTTCCATTGTTTATCAGAGAGAATTAGAAATGGCCAGAAGTGAGACGTCAGGGAGGGGATCGATGCTCTGGGGAACAGTGATTACCAGCTCTCGGGGGTGTTGGGGGAAGAGCTCAGTCAGTGCAGCTCTGATCAGCTCAGCACTTTACATTTGGCAGAATTCTGAGACCTGCCCTGTGCAAAGGCGCCGTGTAAATGCAAGTGGATTGTACTGCACTGCCCGGCTTACAATATAGCATAGACAATAAATGGCATTAGATTAAGTGGTAAAATCGGAGCCAGACTAAAGTATTGAGCGGAAATGCACCAGTTACCGCAGCTCCACAAGTGTCTGTGAAATCCTGAGAGGCGAGAGAGAGAGAGAGAAAATGCTGTCTGCGTACAACGACAACAACAACATTTGTATAGCGCCTTTCACGTCGGGAGGACGTCCCAAGGCGCTGTACAGTGACAGCATTTCAGACCCGAGCTGGATTCGGGGGATGGGGGTGGGGGTGGGGAGGGGAAGGTGGGGGGCCGATGGCATGGTCGAAGAGGAGGGTCTTGAGGCGGGATGGAGTTCCAGAGGTTGGGGGCAGAGTGACTGAAGGCTCTCCCGCCAATGGTGGGGATGGTGGGTCGGGGGACGTGGAGCCGGCTGAGCGGAGGGAGCGGGTGGGTTGGTAGGGGGTTAGGAGGTCACAGAGGTAGGGTTGGGCGAGGCCATGGAGGGCATTGTAGGTGAGGACCAGGATCTTGAACTGGATCCTCCGAAGGATAGGGAGCCGATGGAGTCAGGCGAGAGTGGGGGAGATGGGGTCACGGAGTTTGGTGCGGGAGAGGACACGGGCTGCAGAGTTAGTTCTGGATTATCTGCAGCTGTGGAGGGAGGAGTTGGGAAGGCCGACACGCAGAGTGTTTGCGTAGTCGAGTCTGGAGGTGATGAAGGCGTGAACAAGAGTTTCAGCGCCTGAGAGGTGAGGTAGTGGCAGAGTCGGGCGATGTTACGGAGGTGAGGAAAGGCAGAGAGGGTCATGGGTTGAATGTGAGGGAGAAAAGACACTTGAGAGTCGAACAAGACCCCCAGGTTCCTGACTGGCGGTGAGTTGGTGAGTTGTGGTGGGCAACCATGGAGGGTGATGCTCCCAGAGCCTGAGGTGCGGAGGCGCTGGTGTGAGCCAATCAGGAGCCTCAGTCTTGTTTCACATTCAACTGTAGGAAGTTTGCCCTCATCCAGGACTTGGTGTCCGACAGACAGTCTGTCAGGACAGCAGTGGTCCTGGAGTTGAGGGTGGGGGCAGAACGATAGAGTTGCGGGTCATCTGCATACATGTGGAAGTTGACCCCATGTCTGCGGATGATGTCACCGAGGGGGACCATGTAGATATTAAAGAGGAGAGAAGGACAGAGCCCTGGGGGACGCCAGACATGACAGTGTGGGGACTGGAGGAGAAACCGGTAGAGGCAACAAAGTGGAGACGGTGAGAGAGATAGGAATCGAACCAGACAAGGGGCAGGTCCACGAAGATTGAGTGAGGAGGAGAGGCGGTGTATGAGGATGGAGTGGTCGACAGTGTTGAAGGCGGCAGAGAGGCAGAGGGAGCCCTGATCACAGATGTTCGGAATGTCATTAGTGACTGTGACCAGGGCTGTTCCGTGCTATGGGCAGCGCGGAAGCCGGATTGGAGGGGTTCAAAGAGAGAATGGCGAGAGAGAAAGGAGCGGAGCCGGGACGCAATGACTCGTCTCAGGACCTTGGAGAGGAATGGGAGGTTAGGGATGGGGCAGTAGCTGGAGAGTAGCGATGGATCCAGGGAAGGTTGTTTCAGGATGGAGGTGATGACAGCTGTTTTTCGGGAGGTTGGAACTGAACTGGTGGACAAGGAGAGGTTGATGACATCGGACAGGAGAGGGGCCAGAAGGTGGAGCTGGTAAATGAGGAGAGAGGTGGGGATGGGATCGAGGGAGCAGGTGGTGAGTTTGAGTTTTCAGATAATCATGGTGAGGGAGGAGGGAGAGATAGGGTTGAAGGAGTATGGGGGATGGGTAAGTGGTGGGTCATGAGGGAGAGGTGATGTGGGGGTGGCTGTGGACGGGGCTGAGGTGGTTGAATGTATCCCCTCGATTTTAGATTCGAGGAAGTCCAGCATCTCCTCACAGTTGGAGTGTAAAAGGTTAACAACAACACCATACAGAATCATATAATACAACCCAGGCTGCAGACAAAGGGAACTCTCTTCCTTTTTCGTAAACTGCTGGTCTCAAAATAATAAAAATCATCCTTTCATCTGACACAGTCTCTGTAACGTCAAAACATTTCAAATTGCCTGACAGGATTCGCTGTGGTGTAATGACTGTGTCTGTACTATGTTTGTACACAATGCGGGAGCCAGTTTGTGCACAACAATGTCTCTCAAACAGCCATGAGGTCAGGGACCAATCTTATCTGGGTGTTTGTCAGTGGAGAAAAACTTTCTTCTCGATATTATCCAGTAGCCCGCAGTATCTTTAATGTTCACTTGAACAGGGCATAGACCGGAGCTTGGTTTAACATCTCATCCAAAGAACAGCCCCTCACACCATTCAGTGCTCAACCCCAACAGTGTGCTGCAGCCTAGACAATGAGCTCAAAGTCTCCCAAATGAGGCTTGAACCCACAATCCTGATTCCCAGCTGAGAATGCGATCGAAGGAGACAGGATGACACAATCGTCACCTGAAATTTTCACTTTTTCTGAGTTTTGTTCCATTGTTTATCAGAGAGAATTAGAAATGGCCAGAAGTGAGACGTCAGGGAGGGGATCGATGCTCTGGGGTACAGTGATTACCAGCTCTCGGGGGTGTTGGGGGAAGAGCTCAGTCACTGCAACTCTGATCAGCTCAGCACTTCACATTTGGCACAATTCTGAGACGCTGCCCTGTGCGAAGGCAGTAAATGCAAGTGGTTGTTGTTCAAGTGGATGGTACTGCGCTGCCCGACTCAGGCTGCGGGGGCTCAGGCTGCGGGGGCTCAGGCTGCGGGGGCTCAGGCTGCGGGGGCTCAGGCTGCGGGGGCTCAGGCTGCGGGGCTCAGGCTGCGGGGGCTCAGGCTGCGGGGCTCAGGCTGCGGGGGCTCAGGCTGCGGGGGCTCAGGCTGCGGGGGCTCAGGCTGCGGGGGCTCAGGCTGCGGGGCTCAGGCTGCGGGGGCTCAGGCTGCGGGGGCTCAGGCTGCGGGGCTCAGGCTGCGGGGGCTCAGGCTGCGGGGGCTCAGGCTCACTCACACGCTTTCCATACGTACCAGCCCATTGACATCTTCATTCTGGTTTATTAACGACCGAACCTCGTCCCGATCCCGGTTGAAAATAGCCTGGACCAGCGGCGTCTGTAACAGGCAGAAAAGAGTCAGAACCAGTGCCTCACAACCCCTCTCCCCGTCACCCTCCAGTGTAAATGTAGACGTCTCCTTACCTTTCATATCCACACAGACAGACTCCTCACACACACACACACACACAGACACACACCCAGACACACACAGTCACACACACAGACACACAGACAGACAGACACACACAGACAGACACACACACACACACACACACAGACACACACACACAGACACACACACACAGACACACACAGACACACACACACACAGACACACACACACAGACACACACACACAGACACACACACACAGACACACACACACACACACACACACACAGACACACACACACAGACACACACACACACAGACACACACACAGACACAGACACACACACACAGCTTTTTATATTGTTTCAAATATTTCTCTAATTTCTTTTACGGATTCCACTTTCTATATCCTAATGACCGTCGTTCTCCTGACTTCTCCGTTTGTTTTCTTCGTGATGACCAGGACAGTTTCCCCCTCGTTCCCAATGTCTGGGGAGGAGATGACCGGCCACACGGTTACAATCCAGGAATGGGAAAAGGAATGGAAACAACATGTCTGTCCTCTGAACCCAGAAAAAGTAAATGACGGAAACAGGAGGTCCTGAAACTCAATCACAAAATATCTGCTGCAAACGAGAGGATTTAACTGTGTCACAGCCAACAGCTGTAAAGGACAATAAAACCACAAATAACGGCAGGTCAGCAGCTCTGTCCTCTACACGCTGGGGTGGTACAGAGCGAATGCCGCCCTCCCCCAGCCCACACCAGATGGGCAAATGGAGATTTCCTAACAAAGGATCTGACTGTCTCGAACAAATGGTCTTTCACAAGTCAGTCGGACAGAAAAGCATTTTGTGTTTCTCTCCTCTGGAGAGTTCAGTTCACAGACATCTCCCCCTCCCACAGCTTCAATTATGATTATTAATAATAATAAGCAATCTTTTCATTTGATATTGCACCTTTTGCATCGGGAGGATGTCTCAAGTGTTTCATAGAATTTACTCTAAGGTGTAGTAACTGTGTTTTGTAGACAAATGCAGCAGCCAGTTTGTGACAGCAACAAACGCTCACGAAGTAAATGAACAATTTTATCTGGGGTGGGGTGGGTGAGGGGTTGTCGGCCAGGACACAGGAGCGCTCCCTGCTCTTTTTAAATAGTTCTGTGTGATCGTTATCGTCTACCGGGACAGGCCTTCCCCAGCCAGCACTGCGCTTGGACTATCAGCACAAACCCCAACATTACACTTGAGCCCAAGGAGGTTAGATTGTACCAGACTGACACCTGCCCCCCCCAAGCACTGATGTGATGTCCAGGCACATTCCCCCCGGGGGGGTGACACTGCAGTTGGAGCTGTTGAGGCGCTCGGAGCTGTTATTGTTTTACAACCTGAATGTCTGCCCAGATTGATGAAATTAGAATTCAACCAAACAAACAAATGCTCAGCACAGTGTCTCCTGAGGGAAGGGGAGGGCAACGAGGAGCTGCTTATTTCACACACTGCCCCGAGCCTCACCTCCCTGACTCACTACAAAACCTGAGCTTCAATCATGGTACGCTTATCATGGCCTGATCTGATCTCAGCCTCGCTCTGTGTGTTACTGATCTTGAGCAGAGAGCCCAGCAGCGTGAGGAGGGAACTGAGTGAGAATTCTGTTAAGGAATTTGATGAGAGTGGGAATTCTTCAGCAAGAGGATACCAGAGAGCAAGAGAGAACTGTTTCATTCAGCAGAAGAGTGGGAAATCTATATTGAGGTAGAGGCAACCTTATATGTAAGCAGGCAAACAAGTCAATTAGCAGTTAATCATAGGCTGGGTGTTGGGGATTAATAAATTTGCTGACGGGTCAAAACCGGATGCTTTTGTTTGAGTCCCATATAAAGAAGACTTGCGAGAGTCTCACTTGAGCAGAGAGCTCACCAGACTGAGGAGGGAACTGAGTGAGAATTTGCTGCAGAGGGGGAAGAGGTGCATAATTATAAAATATTTAAGCTATATTAAAATAATAAAAACATGTCTGGGAATATGGCAGGGCAGCTGAGATTGGTTGTATGCACAATGTGTGTCATGTGGGAATTCCAGGATGCTTTGTGTGACCTGGACAGATGTGTGTACGAAGTGCCTCTGGCAGCTTGAGCTCAGGGTTTCTGAGCTCGAGGAGAGGTTGGAGTCACTACACAGCACACGGGAGGCTGAAGAGTTCATGGATTAAATGTTTCACACCACACCCACAGAGGGTTCAGAAGGAGAGTGAGTGGGTGACATCCCGGCATGGTAGGAAGAAGGGACGGGCAGTGCAGAAATCTTCTGAGAGTGCGGCACTCACAAACCAGTTCTCTGCACTGAATACCGGTCAGGGTGATGACACCTCTGGGGAGAGGAGTCAAAAGCAAATGGATGAACTGGGGGACACAGGGAAGAATGTTAATGCAATTGTCATTGGGGACAACGGTGAAAGGAGTAGACAGAAGTTTCTGCAAACACAAACGTGACTCTCGCATGGTCTGTTGCCTCCCTGGTGCCAGAGTTGAAGACATCATGGAACGGGTGCAAAACCTTCTAACGGGGGAGGGGAACATCCATAAGTTGTGGTCCATTTTGGGATCCATGACGTAGGGAAAAAAAGGGCTGAGATTCTACAGAAAGAGTATCAGAGGCCAGGGAACAAGCTAAAGAGTAGGGCCTCACAGGTGGTGATCTCTGAATTACTCCCAGTGCCTCGGGCAAGTGAGTATCAAAACAGCAGCTCAAACACATGAATACATGGCTGGAGAAATGGTGCAGAAAGGAGGGCTTCAGGTTCCTGGATCATTGGGACCAGTTCTGTATGAGGTGGATAGGTTACATCTGAACAGGGCTGGGACCAATGTCCTCGCAGGGAGGTTAACTAGTGATGTGGGGAAGGGTTTGAACTAATTTCAAAGGGGGAAGGGACCCAGGATGTAGCATTAGAGAGGACAAACAAGTTACGTAGAGGGCTGGGAGAGACGAATAGCAATGTAATAAGGAGTAATCCAGAAGAAGGAGGGATTAGATGGGGGAGAAATGCAGAGCAGACTCAGTCAGGCTTGGAGTGCATGAGCATAAATGCACAGAGTGTGACAAATAAGATTTTGAGCTGCAGCTCAAGTTGCCACATGGGGTTAAGATGTAGTGGCAATAACGGAGACTTGGCTCAAACAAGGGCAGGAATGGGAGCTGAATATTCCTGGCTACACTGTATTCAGGAGGGATAGGGCAGGAAAGAAAAGGAGGGGAAGGGGCAATATGGTTTAAAGACACGCTTATGGCCCTGGAAAGGGATGATGTGCTAGAGAGTCCAAAAACAGAATCTATTTGGTTAGAGTTAAGGACCAGAAAAGGAGCTGTTACTCTGTCAGGTATTTATTATAGACCTCCAAATAGCGGGAAGGAGAGACGAGCAAATCTGCAGCAGATTTCAGAAAGATGCAAAACCAATAGAGTAGTGATAATGCGGGACTTCAATTATCCTGACATAGACTGGCAAAATAACAGTGTACAGGGCAAGGAGGGGGAGGATTCCTGAAATGTGTGCAGGAGAACTTTCTGGATCAGTACGTTTCCAGCCCAACGAGAAAGGAAGCAGTGCTGGATCTCGTTCTGGGGCATGAAGTGGGGCAAGTGGAGCAGGTTTCAGTAGGAGAGCATCTGGATAACAGTGATCACAAGACCATTGGGTTTCGAGTATTTATGGAAAGGTGCAAGACACTCAACTGGAAGAGGCTAATTTCAGTGAGTTAAACAGGGACCGAGCCAAGGTGGACTGGAACAAAAGATTGGCGGTAAAACAGCTAACGAGCAATGGGAAGCCTTCAAGGAGGAGAGGGTTTGAGGACAGAACAAATACATTCCCGCAAAGGGGAAAGGAGAACATTCAAACCTCCCTGGATGAATAAGGAAATTGGGATTAAAATAAAACAGAAAAAGAAGGTTTATGATAAATGTCAGGTCCAAAACACAGAAGATAATCAAATAGAATATAGAAAGTACAGAGGAGAACTGAGAAAGGAAATAAAAGGGGCAAAGAGATTGTATGAGAAAAGATTAGTGGGTAATATAAAAAGGAAGCCTAAGGTATTTTATAAGCATATAAAGAAGAAAGGTCAGTCAAAGATTGGGTGGGTCCAATTATGGACCAAAGAGGAAATCTTCCTGTGGAGGCAGAGGGCATCGGCTGACGTACTGAATGAGGACTTTGCATCTGTCTTCACAAAAGAAGAGGATGGAGCCAATGCCACAGTAAAGGAGGAGAGAGGAGAGAAATGGGATAAGATAAGAATAAACCGAGAGGAGCGACTAAAAAAGGTTGTCGGTGCTCAAGGTAAAGTCACCCGGTCCCCGGACGGGATGCATCCCAGGTTACTGAGGGAAGTAAGGCTGGAAATAACGGAGGCTCCGGCCACAATCTTTCAATCCTCCTTGGACACCGGGTGGTGCCAGAGGACTGGAGAGCTGCAAATGTTACTCCCTGTACAAAAAGAGACAAAAGGATAAACCCAAGAACGACAGACCAGTCAGCCTAACGTCAGCAGTGGGGAAACTTCCAGAGACGATAATCCGGGAGGAAATAAATTTTCACTTAGTAAAAAATGGGTTAATAAAGGACAGTCAACATGGAATTGTGTCTAACAAACCGGATAGTTTTTTGATGCAGTAACGGAGAGGGTGGATGAAGGCAGTGCAGTATGTGGTTTATATGGAGTTTCAAAAGGCATTTGATAAAGTGCCACATAAGAGACTTGTAGCAAAATAGCAGTCCCCGGTATTAAAGGGACAGCGGCAGCGGAGACCGAGAGCAGAGAGTGCTGGTGACTGGAGGGAAGTGCAGTGGTGTCCCCCGGGGTCAGTGTTGGGGCCACTGCTGTTTGTGATCTATATGAATGTCCTGGACTTGGGTATAGGGAGGACAATTCCCAAGTTTGC